AGACTTCAGTCATTGACCTTATGCAGCAGGTGCTTCAGGTCCTCCTCAGTTTCAGTGAGCAAGGTTGTATCATCTATGTAGTGCAGGTTGTTGCAATCTACAAATTCTGATGCCACATTCTTTGTCATACAGTTCACCTTCCCAAATTATCTGTTCTGCATGTAGATTGAAAAAGGATGTATCACTGACTCCTTTCTTTCCTGATTTTGAACCATGTATTGTTTGCCTGCTCTGTTCTGACGTCTGCTTCCTGATCCAAATATAGGTTTCTCATGAACACAAGTAATTGTTCTGGGATTCTCATTCTTCTCAAGGTTAGCCACAATTTGTTGTGATCCACATAATCAAAAGCCTTTGCCTAGTCAATGAAACACAAATAGACATTCCTCTGATATTCTCTGTTTTCAGCTAACATTTTTCTTTATTTTGGTTGGTTGTTCAGAGAATTACATGTATTTCAGGTTTACTAAACTTGTCTTGATGAAACTAATACTCTAGTAGCTAATAGGATTTTTTTTCACTTTAAAAATGTTTTAACTGGTGTTCTTCTCAATTCATTCAGTTGGTGGAACTTCATGTTTTTTATGTTCCTGAAGGATCGTGGAACTATAAGTTAAATACCATTTCAAAAGAAGTTGTTAACAAATTCATTTCAGCTGGATTTATAAGGCAAGTGGTTTTGGTTATTTTTAAAATGTACTTGAAAAAGAATTTCTTTTTTCAGAAAAAGAAAATTTTTAAGTTTTAAGTAAAAAAATAACTTGTTAACATGGTAGATCCACACTCATAGTTTAATGTATACTATAAATACATAGTCCTATATAGTAGTTAAATAAAACAATACTATGGAAATATATCACTTAGGTATAATTATACTACCCAGAAAATAATGTATAAACTGTGTATTACTGTGGTTATGCACAGAAATAGTTAGTGATACATTGTCTGAAATCAGCTAAAGAGCTGTGAATAGTGGTTAAAGTAAACACAGTCACCAAGTTACAGATGAGTTTCTTTCCTAAATATGTTTTTAAATTGAAGTTGTAAGTAAGTCAAGACACATGTATATGGGTCTTGTTTAGCTTTACTTTGTACAAGAAAGAGTCCTTGATGCTTTAATGCATGGTTGTTGTTATGTGCTCTTAAATCGCTTGCAACTCATAGTGACCCTGTGCACACTAGCTCTGAACCCTGCATTGTCCTGAACCAGTCTCACTGTCTCAGACGCACCTGTGTCATTACCCCAGTCACTGTGTCAATCCACATCATTCAGGGGCTTCCTATGTGTGACAAAAAAAAATCAATAGTTGAAATATACTAACTGATCTGCAGGAAAAATGTAAATAATTTCCTCCTATAAAGACATGCAGCCTCAGAAATCCAGCGGAGGATCACCATGAGTCACAATCAACCCAGTATCAGTGAGTTTTGGATTTGGTTAGTGCAAGAATAGGAGCCCTGGTAGTGCAATGGTGTAGTAGGCTATATTGAGCTATTAAATAAAGGCCAGCAGTTGAACTCACTAGACACTCCATAAAGATAAGTCAATTTTTATTGTTACCCCATTTAACATTTATAGCCTTAGAAACCCAATGGAGTTTGACTCTGATTCAGAATCAACTTGATTGTGGTGAGTGGGTTAGTCTAAGAAAAGTCTTTTCAGTTATTAAAAACCTGTGCCTGCGGTAAATGAAGGTGATTGTGATGGAGAATTTGTTTTGAGAATTGTCTCAGTTGTTACAAAATGAGGGCAAGTTTAGAGAACATTAAGAACAGATCAGACACTAGTACCCTGGAGACTGCTTATTCCCAAAGATATTCCTAATGCCTTTTACATGGAATGTTTAAAAAATATAAACAAAGAAGATATAGAGTTACATTTCATTTATATTGCATATAGCGCAGACTGCCAAGAAAACAGACAGATCTATCAATCCTGGAGAAGGAGAAACGAGAGTGCTTCATCAAAGCAAGAACAGTGAAACTACATCTCATGTTCTTTGGAAATGTCAGCCAGGGCTAATCCTTGGAGAAGGACATGGAGCTTGAAAGGGTAGAAGATCAGTGTGAGAGAGGAAGACCCCCAATGAGATTGATTGACACAGTGACTGTGGCAATGGAATCAGATGTGTCAGAAATGGTGAGGCTGGCCCAGGAGCAAATTCAGAGTCAATTCACAAGTTGACTACGATAGCACAGAACTATAACATTTATATATTGTCACATTCACACACAAAGACATACATAATACTATATGATCTGTCCACAAGTTACCTTTCTTCATCTCCTTTCTTTCTAATCTTCCCTGTTGCTTGTTTCAATCACATTAGACTCTATCCATTCTGGAACACATTTGACATAGTTCTACCTCAGGGTCCCTGTCTTTGATGTTCCATTATCTGGAATGATCTTTTGTTTTTTTACATATGCCCTATCACATTCATTAGGTCTTTATTTACTGGTTTAGCCTTCTTCAACAGCCTGTTTCTCTTTCCCTTGCCTGTTGTGTTATAGAAATTAGTTTTGCCTTACCAGTTATATATTTTTAACGAATTTATTTTGTTAATGTTCCCTGCCACCATTAGATTGTAAGGGCAGACATTTTAATCTGTTTTGTTCATTGCTAGAACTGAGCAGTGAGATAGATATGCTTGAATTTTGCTTTTAGCACTTGGAACAATCCTGGCTCATATTAGGTACTCAGTTAAATTTTGAGTGGATAAATAAATTATATCATTTTGTACTTGTTGATTTTAATTTCCACTTAATACATTCCAGCTCATAGATACCTTTTTGTATAATGGAACAAAACATTGCTTAATTTTGTACCATCTTTATGATCATTGGTATGTTAAATCCATTGTTACGGTTATTATGTCAGTCCATCTCATTTAGGGTTTTTAATTTGTACTTACCCTCTTATTTACCAAACATAATGTCCTTTTCTAGCATTAGGTCTTTCCTAATGACATGTCTGATGTAAGTGACAATGAGTCTCTCTATTCTTGCTCCTAAGAATAATTCCGGCTGTATTCTAAATTTGATATGCTCATTCTTTTGGCTAAAATATAGTCCATATTCTCAGCTAGCCCTGTAATTTGAATGTTGTTGTTATATCCCGTCGAGTTGTGTCCAACTCATAGTGATTCTATGTACAACAGCCCTAAACCCTGCTCTATCCCTTGCCAAGATTTTTCTCTCTTGGGCTGTCCCTCCACCCTTTCAAGCATGATGTACTTCTCCAAGGACTTTTCCCTCTGGCAACATGACCAAAGTATGTGAGATGGAGCTTCAAAAACCTTGCCTTCAAGGAGAAACTTGGTTTCACCTTCTATAGGACAAACCTGTTTGTTCTCTTGGAAGTCCATAGTATGTTCAGTACTCTTCTCGAGCATCACAATTCAAAGACATTGATTGATATTCTGTCATCCTTAGTCGTTGTCCAGCTCTCTGATGCATAGCAAGTAATTGTGAGGACCATGGCCTGGGTCAGGTGCACCTTAGTCCCTAGACTGACATTCATTGTTCTTCAGCACTACAGAGAGGTCCCCGACAGCAGACTTTTCTAATGCAGTTTGCCTTTTGATTTCCTGACTGCTAGTACCAGGAGTGTTGATTGTGGAAACAAGCAAGCTGAAATTGTTAACAGTTTCAATATCTTCTCCATTTTGGTGAGGGTCTTTGTTTTCTTGATGTTGAGCTGTGACTCATTAATTATACTTAGCAAGATTTTATGGCATTTTATATTAGTTATTGTTTATAATTTCCACATTCCATTTGATTGGCTTTCTTTAGAATATGCATAAATATTCATTTCTTCCAGTCAATTGACTTATTAGCTGTATCTCAGATTTCTCAGCGTAGACACATGCTTTCAGTCTTACCTCTTTGATGAAATAGCTTTATCTATAATCTGTCAAATTTTGGAGATTTGTTTTTCACCAGTGCCATCAGTGCAGTTTAAATGTATTCTTTTAGTACTAGCAGTTCTTGGTTAATGCTGTCTCCTGAAATGTTTAAACATCACTTGATAATTTTTGGTAAAGTATAGTAACTATGTACAGTAGGATATACAGTAAAGTACAGTAATGTATCCCTTCTACCTTCTTTGGTGCCCACTTTGATATTTAATTTCCACCACCCCCCCCCGCCCCCATAGAATCCTTCAGAAATGCAACTCAAGACTTCAATTTCTCTTTAGTTCTTTCAGCTCGAAAAAAAAGTTGATCATATTCTCTTGGCTTCCAAACTGCAGATCTTTGCCTATTTATAAGTTCTCTACCTTATTTTCTCAAGTTAAAACTTCTCATTGAACTCTTTAGTTTACTCTTTCACTTGGTCATTTCTTCTGTTTACTTTAGCTACTCTGAGCTCAAGAGCAGGTTTTAGAGCCTTTTCTGACATCCACTTTGTCCATTTACTTTTTACACTGTTTTTATAATGATCTTTTTGTTTCTTCCTGTCTGGTTACCTTGCCATTTTCCCACAACTAATAAAAACGTTATGCAGATGACACAACCCTGCTTGCTGAAACTGAGGCGGACCTGAAGCACTTGCTGCAGAAGGTCAAGGACTGCAGCCTCCAATATGGATTGAGGTTCAATGTCAAGAAGAAAAAGATTCTCAACACTGGACCAATTGGCAGTGTCAGGATGGATGGTGAAGAGATTGAGATTGTTCACAGCTTCAATTTGCTTGGCTCCACAGTCAACACTCTTAGCACCAGCAGCCAGGAAATTAGAAGACGTATTGCCATGGGAAAGTCTGCTGTTAGGGACCTCAATGAAGACCAGTGGTGTCTCTTTGGAGACTAAGGTGCGCCTGATACAGGCCATGGTCTTTGCTATCACTTTTTATGTATCAGAGAGTTGGACAATGACTATGGAGGATAGAAGGAGAATTGATGCCTTTGAGCTGTGGTGCTGGAGAAGAGTATTGAGGGTACCGAGGACTGCTAGGAAAACAAACAGATTCATCCTGGAAAGGATCAAACTGGGCTGCTCCTTTGGACATGTTGCAAGGAGGGACAGGTCCTTGGAGAGGGACATCATGCTTGGTAGGGTGGAGGGACACCGCAGAAGGGGAAGGCCCCTATGAGTTGGATTGATTCAGTGGTTAGGGTAATTGGGATAGGAGTGTCAGAGACAGTGCGATTGGCACAGGACAGAGCAGAGTTTAGGGCTATTGTACATAGAGTCGCAAGCAACTCAACTGCACATAACAACAACAACAAAAAAAATGAATCAAGAAGAATAGGGCAGTATTGACTTTAAACTTTAGATGCTAAATTAGATTCTGTGATTGGGGTGGTGATAATGAGTGTGTTTGAGACGGCGAGGTTGGCATGGGATAGAATGGCATTTAGGGCTCTTGTATGTAGGGTCACTATGAGTCGCAAGTGATTCAGTGGGACATAACAACAACAAAGAATTAAGTATTCCTAGTGAGCAAAGATGTAGAGCCTACAACATTTAATCACCAAATATATTTTAAACACTAGATAATTCCTCTAAATTCACAAAATAAGTATCTGTAGCCAAATCTTTCTTTAATATATTTATATAAGTGCATAAACTCCATAGCAATTTTTTTTATTTTAATAGTAAAATGTGGAGGTATGCAAGTAGAAGAACACTTTTGATAATGCAATGAATTTTTAGACATAGGATTCATTTGCATAATTTTTAGAGGTCAGATGTTCATTTATTTGAAAAAATTCCTGCAGATTGACTAAACGCCAGATATTGTAGAAATAGAATAGATTTATGTATTAATACAATATTAAGGTACATCTGGTACACTATTTATATTTAAGATAGGTAGTAAAGTTGATGAACTTTTAGCATAATCACAGTTTAGTGTTACATCATAACGTAATGTCATGGTATTTCAGAGTATCTCCTCAACTTACTTTACAAGCCCTGAGGGTGCGTCTTGGTGAGTTCCTTGGTGAAGATGCTGTTGCAGAAAAATTTTTATTTCTGAAATGTATAGGAAATAATCTAGCTGTGGTAAGTTTTCTTTTTTTTTTTGTTTCTGGTTAAAGAAATACATACTTTAAAGAATTAAGCTTCTTAACTGTTTCTCACACAGCTCTTTGAAATGTTGTTGTTCTTGTGTCCTGTCAATTTAAAACTGGCTCATAGCTGACCCTCCACCAGATTTTCAGAAGAAGTAAATCACACAGGAGGAGACTGCCCATCTTTGTCCCACAGAGTAGCTGGTAGATTTGAACTACATGCCTTCAAGTTTGCAACACAGCTGCTTACTAGGCCACTAGAGCTCCCATTGATATACTGGAAATTGTGTAATCTCAATCAAAATAAATGCAATGGATATATCACTAAGCACCTAGATTATCCAGAAAAAACATTAATTTTTTAAAATGTATTCTTTATATCATCGTTCACTTATATAATCATTCATATATATTGCTTCACTCGTGCACATTTTATTTTATACAAAATAATTTCTGCACATTGTACCTTATATAATTAATATTGATCTGTAACTTTTATCTCCCCTCTCCTCAGGTCTCTGTTGCACTTTACCTGTTTCTCTCTACTCCATCCTCCCTTTAACCCTCATTCTAGCTATTTCCTTTTCCTTCCCTTTTAACCAATTTTAACTATATATATACATGTATATTTATGTGTGTGTATCTTATTCCTATTTGGTAATTGCAATAGCCTTATTGTCTTTATCTCAGTTCTTCTCAGGTTGAGCTTCTTTTGTCTTGTGCCTTGTATTGTTCTTTGCCTACTCATTAGTATTTTTTTTCTTCTACTCTCCCCTTCCTCACTCCTCAGTTACCCTCTTGTTTTCACAGTAGTTGTCTTATGCAGTATTTCAAAAGAGTCTCATAACAAAAGTTATCAGAATCCTGCAGGGCCTACACAAGAAAAAGACTGATAACTCAGTGACAAAGTGAGGAAAATATGAAAAAAATATGAAAAATTCATCACAAAGGAAGACATTCGGGTGGCAAACAAACACATGAAGAAATGTACAAAATCAGTGGCAATCAGATACAAATCATATCAAAATATGATTTAATCTCACCCTAGTAGCAGAAGCAGCAAAGTTTAGCAGGACAGCAAATGATAAATGTTGGAAAACATTCAGAGAGGTTGTAACTCTCATGCACTGCTGGTGGGATTGTAAAATGGGACCCCCACTCTGGAAGGCAGTTTGTCATTTCCTCACAAACTGTATGTACAAATTCCATATGACCTAGACATCCCTCTGCTGGGAATATATTTCCAGGAAGTCAGAGCTAAGACACGAACAGAGACAGATTTTATTTATTTTTTTTCTTATTTCCAGAAAGATGTTGGAATGGGCAAATAGATGCCAGAAGACAAAGATAGCAGATATAGATGATAACCCTGGAACTCTGAGTTTCAGTGAAAATTTATAGACTAATTCAAACACTCAGTAAAGGAAGAGATGGAATGAAAACATATAAAAATAAAATTAAATTTACAGACTGACTATGTCAACTCTGAACCTTTCAGGAAGTAAGTAGCTTATGGTCAAGAGCCAGTGTTAATGAAGAAAGAAGACCAGGCTGCTCTGAAGGTATTGGCAAAACATAAAGTCTATGGTACAACAACAGGAATTGATGAATTACTAATTGAAGTATTTCAGGAAACAAATGTGCTCCTTTATGGGCTTTAGGGAGCTCTGGTGCCTAATGGCAAGTAGCTGTGTTGCAATCCCAAAGGCATGTGGTTTGGGGCCACCAGCTGCTCTGCAGGAGAAGGATGGGTGATCTCCTCCTGTGCAATGAACTGCCTTTGAAAACCCGTGAGGGTCAGCTATGGGTGGGTTCTGACTATGGTATGCAGCAGCAACATGTGCTTACTAGTCCAGGCTAAGAAACTTGGAAAATAGCTACCTGATCAACTGACTACAAGAGATCCGTATTTGTTTCCATTCCATAAAAAATTTTAAAAGATAATCCAATGCCTTTTAAGTGTGGAATGAATAAATTATTATCATTAATATCTTACACGAGTAAAATTCTGCTAAAGAGTATTCCGACAGCTGGAACAATTGTACATTGACAGAGAACTACCCAAAATTCTATCTGGTTTAAATAGAGGCCATGAAACAAGAATTATCAGTGTTGATGTTAGATAGATGTTCATATTTATGAAGAGTTTTAAAAAAAATTCTAGTTATGTGACTTTATGTTTTAAATCTTTATTGTTATTATTGATATTTTAACGAAAGTTTACAGAAAACTTGAATTTCCATTCATTCATTGGTGCACATTTTCCTCCTTACCACCCCAGTTCACTTTTCTCTTTAAAAAGGTTCTTTCATAGTTGTACAGTTCCCTCCCTCACCTTATTCCCCAGTCCACTTTGCTGTGCATCTCTTATTTCTTTCAGGCAGTTCTTTTTCTCATCTATTTAAATGCAGTGTTCATTATTTATCCCATCTTTTTTTAGTTTCACCCCTAACACCAATGTCAGTCCTGTTTTATAACAGTAGCATTATGCAGTATTTGACCTTTTGTGGATGAGGCATTTCAATCAGCATAATGTCCTCCAGGGTCACTCATTTTGTATAATATTTTATGAGTTCCTTGTTTTACAGTGCTTAGCAGTATTCCATTGTGTGAATATACCACAGCTTCTCTATCCATTCATGTTGTTGGGCACTTGGGTTGCTTTCATCTCTTTTCTGTTGTAATCAATGCAACAATAAACATGGGTGTATATGGTTAGGAAGATTTTATATTGTGAAAATATCAATACTATTGAAAGCTATCATAATTTAGATCCCATTGGAAAAATAATGTATACTGCATTGAAACAGATTAGGGAGAGAACTGTTTAAAAGGGATATATGATTAGATATTATTATTCTGACAGGAGTTTAGAATAAAGGCAGCATAGTGGAGTGGGCTTGTGGGGAGGGATTGAATAACAATGAAAGAATTTTTTCTTTTACTTATCAAAGGGGAAATCATTCATGAAGCTGGATTCTATGAAGAGGACTGTAGCATCAGGATTAAAGGAAGACTCATCAACAGCCTGCTTTATGTCTATAACACAACTTTGCTTGCTGAATGTGAGGAAGCACTGAAATGTCTGCTGCAGAATATTAAGGACTACAGTCTCCAATATGGATTACATCTTCACATCCAGAAGATAAAGATCCTCACCACAGGCCCAACAGCCAATATTAGGATATATGGAGAAAAAAAATTGAAGCTGTAAGTCAGTTCATCTTGCTTGGATCAACAATCAGGACCCTTGGTACCAACTGTCAGGATATCAGGAGACATACTGCACTGGGCAAGTCTACAATTAGGTATGTCATCAGAGTACTGAAGAGCAACAGTATCAGTTTGAAGACTAAGGTCTTATTCAGGCCATAGTCTTTTCAATCACCTGCTATGCATCGGAGAGCTGGACAATGAATAAGGATGACACAAGAATTGATGCTTTGAGTTTTGGTACTGGAGAAGAATCTCGTGGACTGCCAAAAAAAATAAATAGATATGTCCTGGAAAGGGTGAAGCCAAAGTGTTCCTTGGAGACAAGGATGACCAAGCTTCATCTTTCATACTTTGGACATGTAGCTAGACAAGGCTACTCCTTGGAAAGGGACATCATGCTTGGAAAGATGGAGAGGGTCAGTGAAGGAGAGGAAGACCCTCAATGAGACTGATTGACACTGTGACTACAGCAGTGGACTCTAGTGTGTCAAATACGATAAGGATGGTACAGGATAGGCAAGGGTTGAGAATGGCTGTTGATAGGGTCCCTATGAGTCATACTCGATAGCACCTAACAACAACCTTGTAGAAAGCTGAAGAAAGGTTTTCAAATAGATAGAATCATTCTTGGGTGATTACCAGCAATGCAAAGTGAGAGTGATGAGAGTAAAAAATAATAACTAGATAATAGACATATGTTTAAATGGGGAAGGGAAAGGCAATAAACAGTAAGTAGATCACTGTATCATGAAAGAAGACACAGATGTACAGAAGGGCTAAGGCTATCAAAATAATAGAGAAAAAGTAGGAAAAGTGTGATTACATTCTGAGTATTATAATTAATATTATAAAACAAAATATTTGTGGATGATTGAGTTAAATATGTATTTTCTATGTAAGCTTTCATTCAAATCACAATAAAGAAAAGAAAAGAAATTTTTAGAGTAAGTCATTAGTTTGAACCGAATGCTGCCAGGTATTGAAATGATAGGGGTCTTATTTTACCTGTACAATTCTTTGGGAAAAAAAGAAGGAAAATTTAAAATGTGATTAAATAAATTATATATACAAGTTTTTAAACAAGTATTTGTTTTCTGAAGAAAAATATTTTCTCATTTCTTGGACCAAAACTAAATAAGTTTGATATGAAAATTATGTAGGACTAATGTATTTTTTGTTATCATTTATTTGCTAAGTGAATATTCCTAGTTGTGGTTTCTGTGATTTTGTGAACAATGTTCCATTGTTACCCATAAGGTTTCCAGTGATTGGATATTAAAAGTAGACTTGTGGGCCTTTTTCTAGTCTCCTCTACTTGAGTTCTTGTGACCAAATCGTAAGAAGCTGCACTGCAGTCTCAAAAGCCCATGGTTCAAATCCACTTACTGGAAGGGTGGAAAAATCTCCTCTCATGCAGTTTACTGCCTCTGAAGACCCACTGGAGGGTCAACTATGGATCAGTTGCAACTCAGTGGTACACAACAAGAACAACATAACTTACTTGAGAAGCTCTTTTGAGAACTATCTAATACAGTAGTTGCACTGCTATTTAAAATACGATTGATACAGCTTTCAACTTCATAATTGAAAAGACTTATGAACTTTCAACATGAGCCAAAAAATCGACATTGATAAAAGAAGAAGAAATTGAAGTCACCAACTGTTTCTTTCTACTTAGATCAACATCCATGGAAGCAGTAGTCAAGACATCAGCTGACATTGGGTTTGTCCAATCTGTTGTAAAAGACATCTTTAAAGTTTTGGGGGGTTTTCTCA